CTCCTCCAGGTTAAAAATTACTTGTTATTTTCATTGATAATTGTCTTCCTTCCTTCAATTTTTCCTTCTGAAAGCCCCATTATATGTGCTTGTTACTCTGACTCGTGAAACTTGTCATAATCACTCCCTGAAAACTTCTTGCCAAATTTCTTTCACAAGATTCAGTAATTTCCTACAACCTGCCGACTCCCTGTGCACATAATTTAAAACCAAACATCTGAAGGCAAATACAACAATTTGAAAAAGAATACTGTGTTTCACTTCAGCTTAATTTTGACTTCAGCTGCTTCATAAAAAATATCTGGAAAGATTTTTTTTTTCCTGCTTACTCAGCAGTACATCTGAGAAAGTATCGAGAAATGCTTTGTTCTGTCTTCAGTTTTAGACAGGATTAGCACTATCTCTTTCCAGGAGAAAACCAATTTATTTATGCTACTATTAGTAAAGAAATCTCTTCCACAGTCAGCGTGAGAAGTGTAGCCCAATGACAAGATGACAGAAGCAAGTGGTCAAGATCAGTTCCTGATGCAGAGGAAAAGAGATTTATTTATATGAGATACTAAATGCTGTCATCTTCTCATAGTGCTCCTGCAAATCTAGTGGAGACAAAGGACTTACTGTTCTTCACAGTAGTAAAATTACATCTTTCTGTAGTATCAGCTAGAGTTGAGTATACTAATATTATGCTGTGCTCACGTATCAGATACAGGATTTTTATTCTTTCTGCTTAGTGTCATGTCAGTATTTTCAAAACCATAACAACTTATTATGCTTTCTTATTAAGATGCCTGCTCCCCAATTAACCATCTGGCACCTGTAAATCAGGGTTCGACCATTCAGAATTATGAAGATGTACTGATCACAGTGCACAGAAAGTGCAAGTACCTTTCTTACTTGAACCCTCACTTCCATTTGTCTTTCTCCTTAGCATTTTGCAATCACTTGTAAACAGACACATGCAGACATTTACAGCAATACCCTATTCTATGAGGTCTCATATTAAGTATATCTCACAGCACAAGTTCAGACACATCTCACATTTTACTTCCTTATTTTAGTGGGTTTTGTAAGGCCTGTTGCTTACATGCTGAAATAATAACGTCACAGAAAGTATTTGTACTTCTTGGGCATAAGACTTCATTGAAAATAAGATATGCCTTACTCCAGTGCTCCTACTATTTTGCAAAGGAACAAAAGCAAAAAAAAATCCCCACCCTACCTCATACTTAAAAAAAATAAAATTTCCACATAGTATTCCCAGTAGGAAATTCCTGCACTTAAGAAAGGACAAAGGAAGACCCCAATCACTGCTATGGACACTCTCAAGCCTTCTCATTCTCACCTTAAATCCCTAGTGGAGAGACAAAAAGATTAATTAGGTGTAAAAGAGAGGAAAACGTAATAATCTTGTATATCTTATTTCAGAAGATACCATTCTGAAGTGTTCCATACCAAGATTTTGCCTTCTCATCATAAGTTAGAAGATATTTCCCTATATTAACTGTAGCGGCAGCAAAAGCGGATCAGATTATGTACCTTTTACATCAGTCAACACTAAGATAAAAATATCTCACTCCTAATACAAGCATGGTTAACAATGGATGTGCCTTCTGTGTATTGTTAATTTTTTGCTTAATGTGAGCTTTAGGTACCTTTTGCCATGTGTACTCACTATACTAATCAGGTTATACAGCTTTTTCCTGTGCATTAAGTATCTCAAAGTACTGCTTCAGCCTTTCAGCACATGCCTTCTTCCTTGACTTTGTCTTTGAGGTCTGTCTTGATACTAATACTTCATTCAGTTAGTTTTTCTACTGCTCAGATTTTATCCTAAGCACCGTGGACTAGCCTGACTTAATCTTTGTACTCAGCTTTTGTGAGTTGTGTAGGTCAGCTCAGGGCCTATTCATACACCTGGTCTGATCTCTGCTTCCCTCAACAAAGTGGTACCATTCTCACTTCTGGTTCATACATGGTATCAAGTTTGAAAACACCCAATCATTTTCAATTTGTTTAATACTGTCAAAACAGACATTCAAGGCTACATATCCCAACTGCCTTTTCTGATTTCCAGCATGCAGGACTATATAACACATCAAAGCTCCCACATGTTGTTGCCCTTTCAAATGCTTTTTCCTGCCTTTATGCACATAGGCCACAAAATGTTAAATAATAACATTTACAGTAGTACGAGAAAAGAACAACCCTTTGTACCACATCAGAGCAAAAGAAAGGAAGGTAAATTTAATATTTTCTAGAAAGCAAGTACTGAACTACAGAGAGAACAAATGCAAGATGCCTATACTTCTAGGAGATATTCCTATGTCCATAATAATAAAGCGATGTATTAATAAATATTCATATATTCACAATAGTCACAACCGCTCCAGTGAAACCTTTCTTTTCCTATACAAAGATATGTGGGAAACACTACCTACTAGGAGAACAGAACAATTTGAACAATATAATTTAATAGTACTGTCTTTCATGTGGAAAACTTGACCAGAAGTCCTTGTTACAGTCTTGGAAAGATGGTAGACATAACTGAAATATTCTTGTTTCATGATCCCTCTGTAAGAAACTCCTTGTTGGCTAAGACACTGCAGTAAAATGCAGTAAAATGCAAAAATCCATAATGCTGAAAAGAATGGCATTTCACCTGTCATTCTTGAGAGACGTAAAGATCAAGATTAAGGCATCCTAAATACTTATCTCTATAATGGAGGGTGAGTGATTAAGCTCAGTGATCTTTGCTATCTTGAGTTAGAGGGGTGACCATTCACTGTTATCAATCAGATGTGTCTTTAATGGATGTCACCATCCCTTGAAACCACATAAGGGTTATTTTCGGTTAATTATAACAATGGAATGATTATTAACATACTCATAACACATTCTTACCAACAAGCTAGCCAGCTGCAATTTTTCCATTTGAAAATAACTGACCAATTAAAAAGTTATCCAATTTGAGTGAATAACGCCGTGATCCTGGGAATTTTACCAAGACATTTAACACATGTTACTGAGGCTCTCTCTGTTCACATGTTCACAAAACGATACTGGTTTCTGTGCTGATTCATATATTCCTGCCAATATGGAGCCATAACAGTTATACGTGGCTGCAATTCAGAGCTCCCAGAACACTGGCTAAAGACAAAAGGTTTATAAAATCTTTAGTTCCATCTCACTGGCTCTGCTCTGTGTAGAAAAAAGCAGAATCCTATTCCGAAATACATCATCTAAATCAGTAATAATTACTTAAACTCAATCAACAGGTCTTCGGTTAAAACTTAACATTAAAACCTTTGTTTCTGCACCCTCCCCTTGCAATGTATTCCCAAGGACATTTATTAGCTGTCAGCTGTATACAAACACAAAACAGATGGTACCCTAATGTAGACAGGTAATGTGCATCTCTGGATCACCTTTAAACAGATCCATGAGCACTAAGCTGCTTTATCAACTCTACTCATGTCATTATAGTTACAAACTTCTGACTTCTTTTTCTGATTCTCTCTCGATAGGAGCAAAGAGGTCTACATAGGATTTCTCTCCAAATTTCCCATTTACAAAGAATAGTTTAACTTCCACAGGACTGTAGTGTACATCAAATAGCCTTACAATGACTGAGCTTTAAGTAAGAGTTACAAGCACTAATGATAAGCAGAGAGTGATCAAGTAAATTCTCATTTTAAAACGCAGATTAAAAAAAATATTTAGAAAAGAGAAACAGATTTTTGAAAGCAAAAGCTAAATGCAATATTCCTCTAGTTACGGCATTTAGACTGGTCAGTTATAAGAGACACTTTACAAGTATGTATGAGCATTATACTAGTTCACAAGGACAGAACTGGGGGAGTTGGTGAGAATTATGGAGGTGTAGAAATGAGATGGATGAGCCTCAGGATGGATTTCATGCTCAGCAATATTCACTATGAGCATTCTGAACCTTCGGTTTAAAACACATCGTGAAACAAAATGCCTAATTCTCTACTGCCTTGTAGTCATTTAGCCATGATAAAACTTGAGAAGGGGGAAAAAATCTGCATGGTGATTTGGCAATTCCATGTACCAACTGCAAAGAAATACAAATAACTGTCAAGGGCAGAAAAGAGGAGATTCTGTGTGCAGAATCTCCTCTATCTACTTTTCATTAAATTCTAGACAGAAGCATGGGTCATGTATAATCAACTTACAGCACAGTAAGTTATATTAAGTTTTATTCCAGTATAAGATTTGTTACTATTTCAAACAATGCCGGGGGAGGGGGGAAGAGGGGGAAACAGATGACTTTGTTATTTTGTACATTTCATGGCCTGCAGTTTTTAAAGTAAGACTTCATGTAATTTTTATGACATATAAAACATGTGGCCTGTACTTAGGTGAAGAATCCTTTAAATATTCCATTGGACAAGAAGGTTTAGCCTGAAAGTCAGAAAAGTGTCCATTATACTACAGAAAGAAAGAAGGAAGGAAGAAAATAGAAGGAGGAATGGAGAAGAAGGAGAAGGAGAAGGAGAAGGAGAAGGAAAGATCAAGTATCATAAAAAGCAAAAACAAGCCCCTGAAAAAATCCAAAACCTAAGCACAGCATGCCAAAGCTGGTTGAACATTTCTAGCCAGTTGGCTGTAAAATAGAAGCTGAAGTTAGCCAGGCAGTGGAGAGTAAAATGTAAAACAGGTGCTGCCTATGTTTGGGTATTTTTATTATCTACTGAATAGTCCACCCAAAAATGTGTTCCTAAGGACATCAAGTCATTTGGGGAGAGATTATAGAACAGATGCTGTCCCTGCAAGCTTCTGGCTGGTCTCTTTGGAAAAGGAGTTCTGGGAGGCCAGGCTGGTTGTGCTGACTTGCATATGCCCACCTATAGATGTGGTGGTCCAGTAATCCCAGAACTCAGCTGTGTTTGCCCACAGTGGTGATGGGCAGGTCAGAAGGCAGAACCTGCTGACTGCAGTCTTTACCCGCCAACATGTAATCATGACAGATGCGGACTATGGACTCTCACAAAGATAATGAAAAAACATGTAAATTAGAAACAGACACAGCTGTATATGGCGGGAGGGGAGGGGGAGGCGAAAGGAGGTAGGACTACAGGATGTACAGAGGTCCCTGCCAAAATTATTCTGCAGCTCTAAACTGGACCACAAAAAGAGTTTGTAGTCAATCACTCCTGATGTTCATGTATCTGGTATCGGAAGCACTGATGACTGCTTAAAGGGATTTTGAAGCAAGTTATTACTGAATAAAGGACTAAATACTAAAAGTACATTTTCATTTATTTATGGTTGGTAATACAGTGTGTCATAACCATCCAATTTTCCTAGCACTTAAGATTAGCTGAAAGAGGACTGTTTAAGTGGAAGCTATACACCTGTAAGTATTTGTGTCTGACTTCCCACAATCATGTAACAAGGGATGGAAATGCACAACATGCCATTAGTGGAAAGTGATGCTTCTCAGCAGCTGTCATACAATTACCATTTTCTATTAAGAGGCAAAAAGATGTCAGCTTTGCCTTTATAAAATGCTTGGCTCATGCATCTAAGGTTTGAGGTTTTGGGTTTTTTTTTAAACTGAGCAGGAGTATCTTCATCAATTGCCAAGTTGCCTACACTTAAATTTTAACATTTAAAATCTCTAATTTTATATGTATTCCTGCTTTGAATTAATTTGCTCTCACCAATAAGCAGTATAGATCAGAATGCTAGCACCCAAGCTATGGTAAATCACCCAATGGGAAAAATAGCTAGAAAGGTCAAAAGCTTCTAGAGATTAATCTAAACAACTTAATTACAGATCTGGGGGGGAGTAGTGGGCTGGAGTGGGGGTGGGGGAAGAAAATGTAACAGCCCTGTAACTTAGCAGACAAAAATAGAATGAAGAGGAACATCTTAGAAAATCCTTCTACCTTGCTTTTCTTGTATGTATTGTATGATTTATAATACGTACTTTTGGTCCACATGGAACACTTGAAAAGCAATTATGTTTATTATTTGGAAAACCAGCTGCACTGGAACATGGTATCATTATGTGGTCTGAATGATATCGAATGTACATAGTACTTTCTCATCCATTTGACTTATGACTTATCAATTATACTTTTCCTTCAAACCTTTCCTAAGTACTTCAGAAGCAACTATTTTTTACTGGATGGTGCTCTGTTTCCTGCCAAAGAGCACTGAAACAAAAGCTGTTGCCTCCAGCCTTTGCCACTGCTAAGCAGTGTAAGGTGAGCACACGCAGCACAGCCAGAGGTATGGCGGAAAGCATACTTTACCTCCATGCCTCACTAAATAATACATTGGCAAGGCAAGCACACAAGAGATTTGGTGTCTTGTAACTACTATCAGACGTGTGTCTATCAAGCTTCATGTTTGTTAGTCAAATGAGACCAATGAATTAGAGAACGTTTAAATTTGTCTTCTTTTAAACAGGCACACGATGAGTGCAGCAGAGTCACAACTGGAAAACTTGACCGAGAAGAACACAGCGGTAAGATAAGCTCAGCACAAATATGCAATTTAATGTCTTTTTTTTCTTTTATTAATAGGCTTTCTAGTGTGGGGCCTGATACTCCTCATATAATAAATGAAAGGATAAAAGGAAAGAAAATAACCATGTCTTCCTCAAGTCCCATGAATATGAATAATGCATTCTAGTCCTCTCATTAAATGAGAGAACATGTTGATTTTGCAGGTAAGATATAGGAATTAGTGCTCCAATGTGATTTACCTCAACATACTGCAAGCTTGTTACATTTGCTAGAATAGGGGTCTGCCATAATTTACAGTTGAAACAACATTTCTTAAAGTTTTCTTATTTAGCTATTTATATTTATATCAGGTTAAATGTTGGCATGTTAAATGACAGCCCAAATTAATCTGTTTTCTCAAAATATGACTAGGAATTTGGAAGTGCTTTACATTTTGAAGTAATCAAGAACTACTGTAACTCTTTTCATAAACTTGCCTGAGCTGCTTTTGTTAAGAAGTGTCTGAAATGTAAATGAAGATATGTTACAGATACTTGAGGCTCTGCTTACCTGCAGAAGAAACTGCAAGCTTTTAAAGCAACGGCGTCAGAAGTGTGTGCCTAGCTATCGTGCACAGGTAGAGTCCCTAGGGGAGAAGAGATTATTCAGTAAAGTGGCCAGTCAATATTGCAGTTGGACTAGATGATTGTTGTAGATCCCTTCCAATTCTATTATTGGCTAATTAGAGGAGAACTTAGGCAGCTACCAGTGCTCTCTTTCATCCCCCTGCTTCTCTTCCCAGCATTACGATAAACTAAGGTTTTTGTTCTGCAGCCTCCTGCAGATCCTGGGGGTTGTTCTTCAGTGGTTTGGGAAATGCATTGGGTTAAATAATATACAGTCTTTGGTTGAAACCTATTGGTCATCCTCTCATACTTTATCCCAAGAAGGCCTGTGGATCCTCATACCAGGGATTCCTGACAGTCCATTAATTGGAACCAAACATCAAGGGTGGAATAGAAGGGGAGCTGTCAGAGCCAAGAGCTGGATGAAGTAGTATGAGGGATCATGGAAAGGACTTCTCAAATCCTGTCCTCACAAGAATTTTGTTTTGGGTTTTTGGTTGGGTTTTTTTTTTTTCTGCTGCCTTTTTTTTTTTAGTTGTTGTTGTTGTTGTTGGCTGGTTGTGGTTTTTTGTTGGTTCGTTATTTGTTTATTTGTTTGGGGTTTGGTTTTGGGTTGTCTGTTTGGGTTTTGTTAAACCTAGCCCAATATGCAACAGCAAATGGCAGCTGCTTGACAACAGACTGTTTTCTACTGTCAGGAGAGGACTTACCAGTACAATATGCACAATTATATCATCCCACAGGGATACAGCTAAATGAACATAGCAACACTGTTCACAAATAGTTCTACAAATAAGCTGTGTCAGTTTACTATTTTTACAATTTCTATTTACTTGTTTGCTAGTGAACAAATGAAAGACTTTACATGTAAGAAACATTTAAGATAGCAAGAATGTGATGAAAATGCAGGAAGCCATTTTGGCAAAGGAATACACAGCAGAATTGATACAGTTTTTCTGAACAGCTCTTTTAATTACTTGCATGAGTATATTCACCCACAAATTGAATAAATAGGCTGTGAACAGTAGAGGAGGGCTTATCTCATTTAAAGCACAAGAAGAATACTACCATTTCAATGATCCTACTGCAAAGACAGATTTATCAACAGCTTGAGGTTTAAAAAACCCCTGAAATTTACTGGATATCTGCAATTTTCAAGTCTACAAAATCTACAGGCCTTCCTATAGCTTTTTGATTAGGAAAAGTATACATCAATAAGACTTATTATATGCAACGAAGAATTGCTGTAGGCCTCTTATAAAATCAATGGGAGGGAGATCCAAAAGATCCCGGAGAAGAAACACACAAAAAAAGTAAAGCCTACAGTTTGATTGCTGTGTTTGAATGTTGTACTATTGCTAGTCTCATAAAACACAGACATGCAAGAGATTTATAAGTAGCATTCACAAAGACCTAATTTTGAAGGCTATATAGCGTTTTAGTTCCTTCACAAAAATCCGCCATCGATACCCACCACAATGACTGCTCACTAGCTAACTTAATTTGTTTGGTACTGCAATCTTCCTCTCCCCAACACACCAATTTTGGCCACAGAAGCACATTTGTGTCTCCCAAACCAAGGAAAATGAGAGGGCAATGCTCCCTGCGGAGTTTTAACCTGCCTGAAACCTTTATCCTTGTTCATATAAGAATACATCATTTTTATAGGGTCTTACTTGACTGTTATGAGCAGAGGTCTGGCACAATGGGACTGAAAACATCAGTGTAACAGACAAATTCTGCCTTGTCACAAGACCCATATGTGGGCAGGTTCCTATTCTGCAGCTCTTGGGAAGAGGGTAGTCAGAGACCCACCAGTGTGAATTTGCCTGCGATTTCAGAAAATTGTATAGTGTAGTAAGGTTATTTTCACTATGAGTGCATAAATCAAGACAAATTTGGGGGAGAAGTGAATAGCCCAGAGGACAAATATAGCCAGATAGACAAGAGCTAAAAATAGCACACACAAAAAATAGGGGGGGGGGAAGATACTTGATAAAAGCAACAATATCTGTTCTCCCATTCACCTAATTAAGATAATTTTACAGATGGCCAGTAAAAGTTAAAAACTACACTCAGCAGAGCCAGTATGAAATTATAAGTGACTTAGATCACAGTCCAAGTCTGTGCTTATTTCCTCTATTTTCTTCCTTTATTTTCATAAAGGCTAAGGCTCTGTAAAGCTCAGGAAACAATTAAAATAACTGACAATTTTAAATATTCATCAAATATTTTACTCTAAATAAATTCCCATTAGTATTCAACAGTGATTTAAACTACAATGAGCAGGTAGAGAAGGAAATTAGAAGATCAGAGGCCAGGTTTGGAGATAGCAGTAATAAAATTCAAAACCTCAAATGACCTCTCGGACACACCAAATTCTGATTTGGGGTTTTGGGGTAGTTCGTTGTTTTGTTGGGGGGTTTTTTGAGTTTTTTTTTTTCCTCCCAAGTTTCAGGCACTTTCATTAAAACATATCTTTAAGAAGTGGCTTAAAGTCAGGTTTAGGCCTACATTCAAATTTATTTGTAACACAAATGCAGCTGTTACAATGTTACTGGGAGGGGCAGGGGGAGAGGGGGCGCAGTAAGTAAGGCGAAGAAGCAGTGCAGCAAATCTTCACCTTTATAAACCATTGAATCTCCACAGAATTTCATCTCATACAAGCCAATTCACTCATGTAAATAAAGCAATTCTGTTTGTTTTCTCTGCCACCTAGGAGCCATAGGTCCCACAGTAGACAAGGGTAAAAGAAGCTGCCATTCTCAGTTAAGGCTGTTTTGAGAGCTGTAAGGGAGAAGGAGGTGAACACCAGATTATTTTTGAATGATGGCATAACACCTACCCTGGCAAATACTGAAACCAACAAAAGAACCCACTAGCAATGAAACAAAGCATGGGAGAATGGGGATATTGCATAAGCACACTCACCTGAGTCAGGAAAAGACTGCTTCAAAGTCTGAAGTCAATCCTTAGATGTAGTGCAATTCAGGAGTATTTCTAACATGCAGCTGTGAGGTTGAACATTCTTGTGACTGGCAAATTCAACAGCTGTTCTTCATTTTGAGTTGAAAGTCAGACCCATTTAGGATCTTGGAAGGAATCAGCTAGCTTAGAACAACAGGTATACATGGTAGAAGAAGGAAGGGTGTTACTCTTTTGCTTGCAGGAAGGGGAGAACATGGGAGACAGCTTGCACCAGTCAAGGGCAATTAGCAAGACGTTAGCCATAGTCACAACCTAGAACTGCCAAAAAGCTAAAGAAAAGACAAGTCTTGTGCCAGTTTCTGGCTGGAAAGGTGAGAGGTGTGAGCCAAGAAACTCTTCCCTATTCTGTTCAAGGAAGGAAGACCTGAGTTTCCTCCTCAAAATATTCCTGCAGTGCATCAACTACCCAGTGCTTCTCCTGTGGTCTTTTCCTCCTAAGCAAAGTATTACAGACAACACTAATTCTGGTTAAAAATTATGTCAAAAAATCCCAAGCCCAAGTATCAGTGTTGCAGATTTAAGCTAAATCAAATATAAGCATGTAAGAACAGTTAAATACATAACAAACTCTCTTGCCAAGAAGGGAGAGGCTAATTAATTGATATTTTAGCTGGTAGTTGAGTCTCAGTTCTTGTTAACATTTCTTTCTCTTTCCTGTTTTAAAAGCAAGTTCTTTCTACTCAAATTCTTTTTAAATGAGAGGTGAAAACTTATATTTGAGCATTTGCTACAGGGCAGAGAAACCTCAAAATCAAACCTTTTGGGAGCTGATTTCAGGAAATGGGTAGCAGATTTCAGCAACTGGCGCAAAACGATAGAATATCAATTTTCCTTCACAAGAATACTGTAAGAAAGATGGAATAAGCCTTTGTGAGAACACAGTCAATTGATCAGAAAGATTTGATATCAACCCTTTGTAATTTACCTGCCAGAAGAGCTACAGTACAGTTAGGAGCACTGTACTGCAGGATGTGTTTCCAGACCATCCAAGTATTTTCACAGCTAATGCAGTAGCCCTTTGCTCCACTAACTGCATTAAAATGCTGTGTCTTATTCTACGCTACTGACAGATGTATCAAACCTAAAAGAAACCAGCAGTCACCAGTCACAATACCTTTCAGTGCAACATACACTGTTTGAAATTCTCCTTAATTGTGTACATGCTGCTTTTCCATTCATGAGAGACAGCAATTCTGATGGAAAGCTTAAGAATGAAATAGCTAAACACCACCTTTAATTCACTCTTTAATTAACATATTCCTGCTATATAAACACACTGAACCCTGTCACTGACTCTTACCAAATCTGGTCTTTCTGGATCTCGCTTTCCTTTGGGAAGTGGCTTCTGTTCCAGCCACCAACCTGTGCCTTGGCCTGTCCTTCAACCCACAAGGGCTATCAAGTCACCCAGTGGTGGCCTTTGCTGGCATGGTCGTACCTGTCTCTGACCCCAGGTGCGTGTTGCATTGGCAGGACACGCTGGAGCTGGCAGACTTGCCCCTGCAGAAGGGCTCCGTGGAGCTCCTCAAGCAAAGATGGGAGTCCGCCAATGCTGCGAGAACTGCCCTGACTCTCCAGTGCTCATCAGCCCCACGGTCCCTGGTGCTGGATAAGATGAGCTGCAGCAACATCATGGAGAAAGTGCCAGCAGACAGCAGATGGACAGACATGTTCAAGGAAGAGACCGTAGGTGGCCCTCAGCAGACTGAACACTTCCCCATTACTGTGGAGGAGCTGCGGAGCCACTTTGAGGCCCTGGGTAGCAAGAAGGTAAGTGGCTGGGCTGAGTGGACACCTTGAGGGCATGGAGATGTAGGGTGGTTTCCCCTCACGTCATCCCTCTCCTATGCCCTGCCGGGTCTGGACAGTACCCACCACTGCTCGTGTGGATGTCCTGTCGATAATTTGGATCAGTATGTTAATACTAAGCATTCTATAGCTTTCCTTATTCAATAATGTTATTGGTCTGGATCATTTTAATGGTTGCTGACTACTGCTATCTGCCAACCTTTCAGGGAAGTTGTGCTTGGCCAGTGCTTCTGGAGGGTGGGAAGAGAGAAAAACAAGATATTATGGCCTGAGTGAAAAATTCTCAAATGAAACTATTTACAAACACTCTAAAACTTCCTGAAGTAATCACTTCTTATTTGTTGCACAGCGTTGACTCACTTTCAACTGAGAAACTTCTTGTCACTTCACCCATAACATGACAGGCCTGGACAAATTGCAACCTTTATTTGTCACCAGATTTTTGTCTGAGAAACATCTATGATTTCTTTAAACTATCTGGGTAGAAACTAGGCCTGTTTCGAAGCTTAAAAAATGCTTCATAGAAGTTCAGAATACTGAAACAGTTATTAGTAGTCTTAATTAGGCAACTTCATTTGTTTTTGTGGCTAAAAACTCTTTTACCACGCTTTACCTCTTCTGCATGAAACTAAAATGTCCCTGCAGGTTTTGATTGCTGACGGAATATTTTATACCTTCCCCGTTGTAATTCCTCACTTCTTGTTCAGTTATCAGGTTAAGAAAACCCCCAAACATAAATAAATGAGAAATCCCCTTTGAATAATTTTTCCCCACTTCTCAATCAAAGATATAAGGCTTGATGTCACAGCTGTGTTCCACCAGCTACCAACTGCTGCAGGATAATCCTGCCAGTCCATGTACTCAGACATGTACCCATTTAATTTTAATGCCCAGAGTGATTTAAACATTTTTTGTTTCAATTGGTTTTCTAGTCCAGAACCTATAGTTCAGAATAATGCATGCTGACCGTAATGTAATAGTGGGATTTTGTGTAGAAATTATAAGATATTAGAAAGCTTTTTTATGTGAACAGTAAAATAAAAATTCATGTGATTCATGAAAAATCTTTTCACTGGCTTTAGACACATAACACAAAAGGTAGCAGGCACCAATAAAATAAAGGTTAAAACTTTATGGGATTATTGAGCACTTTAAGGACCATATAAAATAGTTACAGACTGCTCTAAGTGGCATACTCAAACGATTTTTAAGGTGCAGACCTTTTTGGTTGGTCTAACTTAGACATTTTTTAATAATAGCAAAATAAACTTTATTTCCTATGAAGCAGTACTTTTAGCATTACAGACACAATCACTCTTGAAGGAGGAAACTGGTCTTTTTTTAATCTTACTGATACAAAGAGCTCCTTATTCAGTGAAAAGTAGTAATTTTTTGGATTTAAACAGCATTCTTCACTTGACAGGATTGCAGACCTTTATTAAACAATAATTACCAAGAAAGTAAAAGAACTCCTTACTCACAGTCTTAGAACTGTTATACCAATTAAATATTACTTTGGTTTAAATACACTTAAGGCTTCTTTGCAAAATTTGCTACTGTTCTACTGCAAATACTTTGAATTCATGTGCAGCTTAGAATCTGATCATTAGTATTATTATTCCACTGATATACTTCATAAAAATTATTTTGAAGTATATCTTTTTGCCGGGTGTTCCTCCAAGTGAAAAGCTGTAATTTCTGATACCAAAGGGAAGCAGGTTCAGTAAAAAGGGTGGGAGGTGGGGGGAAAATTCAAGGAAGTGTTACTTTCCTCTTCCTTATAATTTGTTTGCCATGAGTGCTGCATATGAAATATATTTCGTCAGTGCTCTAGTTAAAATAATTTTTTACCCTGGCCAGCCAGAAATGAAAAAAGAGATGTACTCTCCAAAGAGCACGCTTTCTTGCTAAGTCACTGAAACTAATGCAGGAATTGTTAATATCTTGCAATGAGCACTGAAAAGCAGATGGTGCTTACAAAATGGGAAGTGACAAGGGATAGAAAAGCCTGAGGAACAGGTCCTTCTTCTCAGAATTCAAGTAGAAAAGTTTGAATTCTGTAACCATGTTCAGGTAGCTGTCTTAGGAAATGAGATCCATGTTGCCTTTGAGGATTTATTTCTCCAGCATTGTAAAATATCTTAAGGTTTCCAAGATAAAACCAATATGAAATGCAGAAAAATTGAAGCTGCATCATAAAAGACTTTCACAATGTTAGCATTCCAACATTTTTTCTTAAACATTTTTTCTTAAAAAGAAAAATCTGGAAGTGAGTCTACAAAAACTGTGGGCATTCATATCAGGGGTTTCTGATGCTGAAGAAGTATAGATGCTCAGGTCACTTACAAATCTTGGCAACACAGACCAAAAGCAGGACTGACAAGATTTCAGAAAAATCTGTGAACTTCATAGGCATAAAAATTCTGTGGAAGGACAGACTATTTCAGTAATCTGAAAAGTTGGAGCCAAACTGATGCTGGTGCTAACGATGGCATCAACATCTATGTCCAAGATCTTATGGCACAAAGAAATATGTAGAAATTACAAATTCCTCCACTAGTAACAGTGAATAAGCATGAAAAGAATAAAATTGTGTGGGATAAATATGATCCACAGCAACCTCAGGCTTTGCATGGACATTTTTCCAGGCTTTACACATGCACACTGTGTCATATTTTAAATTAGTATCCTGAAGGTATTTAACAGTGCATATTAAGCATTCAATGCGCACCTGGTTAATGAGAAAGACCTTAGATGTAAGAGGTGACAGTGTCATTTATTATTATTAATGAATGTTAAGCATTTTAGCAGTTGAATATTACACCATGAGATAAGATACTTGTCATGAAAAACAACAGCCATTTAGTATGTCTTCAGAAGACACACTTTGACTACAATTCTACCAGTGATACAAGAAAATACATGTATCATGATATAATGCAAGGCTATGTCAAGGTTTGAGCAAACTGACTGCTTAAGATTCAAACCTCTTTCAGCCATAGTACACTCTCATGGGCAGGAGGAGTGAAGAATGGGGAATGAGCTGATATATTTTCCTTGCATTTTGTAGTGGTTTCACCCAGAAGCAATCAAGAAGGTTAGAACAAAGTTAGAAATGGCTATATGTAAAACTTAGTCAAAGCTATAGAAATCACAGTGGAATTTTAAAAATTTAAACAGAATGTCTTTCAAGGCTTGGTGCCAGCTAACTATGTTACATTAACCTTATGTATAAACGAGCATGCTCATTAGCCTTATGATCAGAAAAAGACTAACAAACAACTGTTGCAACCCTGTTTAGATGGTCCATCTCTTGACTTCTCAGACTTCTAAGACCATGGCCCATTTTATTACATTATTCCAAAGAAAAAAATAGATTTTATTCTAAAAAGGCAAAATACCACTGATTAAAAATTCTGTAACTTCTCATTCAGTGCTGTTATTTGTATATGTACAAAATCAATAGAAAAAAATTGGGGCAATTAAAGAATGTTAAGCCATGAAGTGACTTCTAAACAGTTAGATCAATTATATAAAGAACCCTCTGCTGGTTCAAAAGTGAAAGACATTACTACAGGTAGCTGCAAATGTATTTAGACTTTTGGTGTATTTTTCTTCCTGGTGGCAGCTAGGAAGAAAGCTATGCTCAATCCTATTTATTTGAATGGAATTAACATTTCATCTTGCAATAAGGCAAGACAAAAAAGAGTAAACAGGGTCAGGGACTAAGTTTAATAATTTTGAAGCTAAATCACTTGAAGTCAAATTACTTTTGCCTGAGTTTATCCAAGTGGAACTTGGATGTATTTCCTTCTTAGGAGTATTAAGAAGTTAATTATTAAGTCTGTTGCTGGAGCCTTTTATGGAAAGCCTAAAGTATCAGGCCTGTCCATATATCTTTCCATTATTTAGAAATAAACTGATGTCTTATTCTGATAAAGTGAAAAGTGTTTTCCCCTTTCCTACAGGAAACACATGTTTCTTAGGAATTAATAGTATATTAAAACATTAAATTACTGTACTGACTTATCATTCCCATGAAACAACTACTTTAGTTTATTAGCACTCAAAGACATTGGAATGTTAAAGCAACTAAGGACTGTTTGCTGCAAAGTGATTACATAAGTTTTTCTCAAAGTGTGTTAAATAAAGCATCCCAACTGAGAAAGTAATTTCATGCTTATTTTTTAGAGAAACCTATTCAGAGAACTCATTAAAACTATTCATTTAAATAATTTGGTATATGTTCATTAAACTGTGTCCTTTGCAGAAAACATATGAACTGCAGCCAGAAAGTAAATGAGGGAAACAGATGTTTAATGTAAAAGGTTAGACTTTCATTAGAATTGTTTAAATAAGCAGCACCTTCTTTCTCTTAACACCCTCAAAAACATCTATATGAATTTAGCAAAGCCATGTAATGCAGAAAAGAACAGAAACACCATGACAATTGTAGGTCAGTTTTGTACCCTTACATCATTTGTATTTTTGTTATGGATGAATGAAAGTAAATAGTGAGGAATGCATGGGGTGGCCAAACGATTACCTTTGCTAAAAAGCTTGCTATTGAAAGGAGTGTTGTATGGTCAACCTTCTGGATTTTGGCTTCATATCTTTCTTAGCTCATTCTTTTTTCTTTTTCTTTTCTTCTTTTTTTTTTTTTTTTTGACACAATGCATACCTCCCCCTTGTTTTCATGAACTTACTTTTAATGGCAAAAGATTCCACAACAAGGAAAAGCAACATTTTCTATGGGACTTGAATTGTAGACTGTGAAGAACAGGTTTTGGTAACAATTTGTATTCTTTTCCCCCTGCCCCTTACCCCTTAAAGGAAAACTTTTCTTTGTGCTTCACTTTCTCAGTAAATATATCAGCTCTTTACAGATACCTTACAAGTCATCTGAAGAAATAATCCTCTTCCCATTTTGGTTATTCTTAGTTGACTCATCTCTGAACTGG